AGCACCAGAAATATCTTACCTATGCTCGATTCTCTTCCTAAAGGGCCGGTTGCTATATGCAAAAAAGTTGAATTACTTTACCTACGAAAAAGATTTCCAATTTCGCATTTAAAGTAATAGATTTTTAGTAATTCGATTTCTACTGCGTATGCGGAGGAAATGTCATTGCCAGTATCATTGTTCCGAACATTTTCTTTTAAGAATTTCAGTTGGAAAACTTCCAAAATGCCTCGCCTGGTTACGTTTCAAGGCAATAACCGAGGAATTCCAGCAAACGAATAAGCTATGCATACACCAACAGAAGCAAGAAGTAAGAACTAGTTAAATCTATGAGGTCGAAGGCAGAAGAAATCCAAAGGGAGAAGGGAGAAAGGCTAGCGATCTTCATCATTGTGCAAGGCAACTGATTTGAACGATCTAATTTCCCTCTCGGAGAAATAAATGAATAAGTTTGAATGTGACTACTGTAAAGCAATTATTGAATATCTCATTAGTTGAGTAAGAACTGAGTCCTTTTCATGCAAAAATATCAAATTCCCTTTAGTATTTCTCTAGAGCGTATATGCAGAGATGGGAGTTCAATTTAACCAGAAAACCTTAAAAAATGCTCTTTTTGAATTAAGGTTACATACTTCAATCTTTAAGTTTGTTCAAGAAATCCCTAACATCCGCTCAAAGCTAAACTGCTGAAGTTGAAGAGGTTTCAAAAATTAATCTGTCATTGAGAGTCCTCGTGCTGTTTTTCTGTACATGAAGCTTAGATTTGCTTTCAAAAACTTGACAATGGCAAATCCGTCGCCCTCTGATTTGTAAAACTGTCAATTTCCTTCTACTTCAGTCTCCCCCAGCATATTAAAAAATCTGAAGCTCATTGGAAAATTTCAATTTGTTTTTGACGAGTCTAGAACTATTTCAGAGAGGACTGTCAAAAGTGTAATTCTCGTAGCTCCATTCAAGTTTGATATATCGAAAAAGGAATAGTTGCATATAAAACTTTTTTTTTTGCATTCGCTGCGATCTACGAACTTCAACATTTCAGAAATAAAAGCATTAGCGTGGACGAAATATTTTGTATTCTTACTACAGAGAGAGAGGTCTTTCTGAAAAGAAGCAAATTCTGAGAGCCGCGAAAGGGTAGGAACCTTGCAGTAGCAGACATTTAGCATATGTTAAGGAAAAAAACGCTTTTGATTCCAGAACTGGAAAAAACCAGAAAAAGTAACTTGTCTCAGCTTTTGCAAATTTGCAAAAATCCTTGCTGTTTTTCCGTATGAATTTTTGAAAAAAATACTGCAAATTCTTTTTTTCGCCAAAGCGTCAAAAAGCATCGCTTTGATTTTTTACTTTATCCTGACTACTGGAACTTTCATGAGAGTAACCAAGTAATATTTTTAAAAGTGTGACAAATTACCACTGAGCTGCCGGTGTGCTTGGCCAGTGGACCAAGCAAAACGTTTTGTTTAGATACTCTCCATCGCTCGAATTCCTCGGTCGTACTCCAAATGTTGCCTAAATCAAACGGATTTTGTAGGTGCTTTAGAGCTTTTTTCTAACAGCCTCATTTAACTGCTGTAATGTCTAGCACACCAAATTTGTTAAATTAGTAGTTACAAGTGGATTAGAATCATCATCCGAAGGAGAAGATGTAATTGGAATTACTGGACTCGCCTATATATAGCCTTACTTAGCTAGACTAAATATAATGAAACATAGAGATGTAGGACACGAATATCTCGGAACATAGTATAGTGTATGATCTCAGGACAAAGCAATGGTGAAATATTGTGAAATTTGACGTTTAAGGATGTGTATGGTGCAGCAATTATTATCTCATAAATCAGATTTCAAATGTTGTCAGAAAATGCCATACATGTTTACATAGCATAGGTTGAATTAATTGCATACAACGAAATGAGTTGACCTAAATGCACGTCTATTTAAAGGCATACTATCATTTCAACCGGGGATTAATTTGCGCTGCCATTTAAGTGAGAACGGGAAAGGAAAAATTTAGTAGAAATTTTGCGCTGTTTAACAACTACATAAAAAATCTGAATCGTAAACGAACTACTTAATTGCAAGAAATTTTTGAAAAGCTGACCTCCTTGGCATATAGATACAGAGGGAGACTGCAGGCAATGGCCGTCACCCATGCAAACGTACTAAGAATCAAGGCGACACGGTAATTTCTGTAAAACTTTTTAGAAACCGCATCCTTCTATGTGAACTTCTACCTGAATCTGGCGCAAACGTCGCTTTTGCACATGGCTAGATATCTATCAGCAGCGAGTAATACAACGAATAGCACTGAGGCATATTTTCCTAGAAAATAAAGCATGTGTGCTGGATTTTATTGTATGAATATCGTTTTACTATATGATAATAATAATTAATGTGGAAGGCAAGCTCTTCGTCCTACCTGTAGTCTCTGTGCCATGATAGAAATGGCACAAACCAGAGCCAAATGGCCAACTTTTGAGGTTTAGCGATGTTGCTGCGACAAGTGACAGGTCAGTGAGGTAAATAAAGTCGGCTAGGCACAATCCAACCATATAAACATTAGTTATGGATCGTAAGTAACTGTAAGAATGTTAATGAAATCAAGAAGGCGTTTTTATTTTACAGTAAGTGCTAACTTGTCCCTTCTTTTATTCTCACAAATGAGAAGAAAAATTTGATATAAGTGATGATACAAAAGGCTTGCAGCCAGCGGCTACTCACGGTCTTGATAATATGAGAAAGATGACCAGCACGTTGAGTGATCCTAATGCGACGAGAAGTAGGTGAGTGACCGTAAGCGCGAGACGTAAGTGTTGCGACGAATCCGACATCTCATGCTGGAATCATTGTAAGAAAGCATTTGCTTTTAGGTAGATCAGTAATAGTGCCAGCCAGGATTGAAATCAAGCTTTAGAAACATAGAAATGTTGAAGACTTCAATGTAGTTTTTCTGCAACTTTGTTTGAAAATGGATATAATTCTTTTTGCTAAAATTGTCCATTAGATACATAGAAGAGACAAGCTGAAAGTATCTGTTCCTCGAATGTTCTCAAATATAATATGGAGAGCTTAAATATCAAAATGCTGGCAATTCCCAGATTGCGGATCAAAAATGATATTAGCGACCACCGCCTACCTACTATAACCCCACAGTAGGGCCTTCCTTTGGAAATGAAAATGATCTTCATGACCACAATGTCATATTATCCCTCCTGAGGGAAGGTAAAGCAAAATTCAGGGTTTCGATATATTAGGTTCGCTGATGTAGATGTGGAAGTTGCTCGTAGTGACGTAGCAATTAAAAATAATACGAGTACAGTTGTCTACATCACAACATTCTCACAGAAAAAAATTTCAAAGAGAATATTAAAAGAAATTTTGAAGAATAGCCAAATGGCTAGTCAGTTATGATCAAAGGAGTGAGGGTAATGTACAGGTTTATAATGCAAGCAACAGAAAGCAGCAGTCAAGAAATTCAGACAGTTATGAGAGTATTTTGAAAAGTTGAAAAGTTGTCGTTTTTTCTGTTCAAGGGATATTTGTAGTGCTTCACATCCAATGTCTGACTTGTGATGATTACCGTCCTAGTGTACTCCACCGTTACAACTTAAGAGATTATTCCACATAAAGGCATGCTTATACGCTTCACCGATACAACAGTGCCGCATCAATTTCCTGTCTCAAGTGTAAACTAGCTAGGCCAAGTGGACTGTAAATAACGAAATTGATTAATCTAAGGATGGCTTGTTGAGATATCATGTGATGGTTGCAGAAAGTGTGAAAACATTCACGGAAAAAGTCGCTTTATTCAGATATAATCGCCACGAATATTAAAATTGCTGTTCAAAAGGATCCGCGCTATGCTCATGTGCAGCTAGTGACGCAATATGTTTTACAAAAGCAAAATATGAGTATCTGTCCACAAAGTGCCTAATTATTTCAGCATGTATTAGTTTGTCTGAATTTGGACAGGTTTACGTAGTAACACAAATTTATAGCAAATTTTGTTTTAATATGGGCAGTGCCGGGATATAGTTGGCCTTATTCGTCTATCTCAATGCGAAAACATACCGCAGCACCATGAAAATGAGATTTTGAGTGGCAAATTTGTTTGCACACTTCGGCAGGATCATCGAAACAAGGATAAGCGGCCATTTTACATAAATAATACGAGACAATAATAAACGTACGTATGAAAAATTTCATAAGTTTGTTGTTGTCGACTGGATGGAATAGAAGAGCATTAAACAATAACAGCGCATTGGTTAAGGATGGATAGAAGAATAATAGTGGGTTTTTCGTTTTTCTCTCTTTTTTGTGATCAAAAGAATTCTTGAAAAATTTCTTTTTTTCTTGTACAAATTCATTGCTTCTCTAATAAATTTTTGAAATTTTAACGAAAGATAGGCATTTTTTCTTAAGCGAATAGTTTCTCCCAAATTAAACAAAGTTTTCTTCATAGGCTCGAACCTTAGAAGCATGCCTACCAGACTATTGAATGTAAACCTGTTAGTTCTTTACGTTATATATTGAGCGTCCTGGAGAGAAAGACACTGTTCAACCCACAATTCATTGCACTAAAAGAAGTTTTGAGGTATTCTTGTACTAGACTGATCTTATACATACACGACCATAGAAATTCCAATCGTCATCATCTATTTTTGTGTACATTTAGATAGACATGGACATAACGGCTGGTCCACGAAACAAAAACTAAACATACTCTCATGCTATTTTCTTTTACGTCCATTTACATGAATATATAGACGTATGTTTATTTCTTAATATCGCCACACACAATTACTTGCGGCGCATATTACTAATATTTAGAAAACTCCCATGCTTACCCCGTTACTATTACCTTAATACACTTTCTTTTCTAAACAGCTTATTGCTTTGATTGTTGTTTTTAGGGACAGCTTCTCGTTTGAAACGCCCCTGCTTCAAGTATGGATAAGGTCGGTACGCAGATGCATAAAATCTTACTCAGGATAGCACTGATCCAATCTGAGTCTGAGAGGGTTGTGCGCACTGATGCGCTAAATTAGTTTTCGGTCTCGAGATTGCGTTTCTATTAATTGCGGTAATCAAAGATGGATTAAATTAGATAAGAAATTCCTGAGTAAAATATGTCCTGAGACTTAGGAAATGGATATTTTCACAGTAGATCTGTTAATATCATGCTTAGAGCGTATGTCTTCTTAATTGTAGCATTAAAAATATGCTACAACAAACTTTCATCGTTGCTCAATAACGTAACCCTTGTTTAGGCTGTTATTGGAAACTGTATTTGTAGTCTATTTTTATAGAATGGCTTGCAACTAAAATTGGAAGAATATCATCATGGCTGCATAAAATAGAGGAGAACATTCATGCACTCATATGTATTCTACTGAACTTCTCTATTAAAGTTTTTATTCTCAATGCATTCTTTTAGAAAATGGGGAAAGCGCTTTTTTGAATTTTCTTTTAATCTACAGGAGTTCTAGAAAATGGTATTGAGGAGGAAGCCTCAAGCACTAATTTCTCCTTGTACAACATTATAAGCTTATAGGCTGACAAATCTGCCAATGATGAAAAGCAAATATTTCCTGCATCTATCAAAATCATGGAATTAGACCAAGAGCGATTGATAATATTTGTAACGTGTAAGAATTGTGAGCACCAGAGAGGAGCGCAGTTGCGCTGAATTTTTCTAATGTGGTGTATGATGCTTTAAGAAAGAGATAGAATATAATCTTGAATTTTGTAATCAATTTGACGGATGGAAAAGAATTTTTTTGAGATGTAAGCACATCTTGTTAGACTTCCATAAAAAGGCATAGAAAAATGTATAAAATATCAACTATAACTAATTCTATTGGAAACACCTCATATACCTACAATGAAGACATATAGTGTTTAAAATGGTG